GGATGTGAGCAGCCGTTTCTTTGGGGGGAGCGTTGCGTGACATCCCAAAAAACGGCTGCAGAGGAGACTATAGAAATTACGGTTGGACAAATTTCGACAGACTGGGAATCCTTGTCTCCAAAAAGGAGAAGTTTGAGGTCCTTTCTACTCAGCCTCTTAATTTTTACAGGCAAAAGCCATGCAAAATAATTTTTGCGTATTTGAAGATCTTGTTTTCTTTGATTTGTGGATTCCGGATTCCAGTTTTCAGATTCCAGATTACAGATTCCGTGTTTGAAGGTTTCCCCTTATTCTTCCTTTTTTTCAGTTTGAAAAAACAGTCAAGGTTGAAATGATTAATAGAATTTTGCAAAAACAATTTCCACATGCTAATCAAATCCACTTTATTAAGAAACAAACATCCTCACAATCAATCTTCATTTTACCTTTGTCTGCAGGGGTAACCCGAAAATACTGACCCCTGGTCCGCAGACCCCCATTTTGGACTGGGTATACCTCGACTACCTATGGACCGGTCCACGGACTACCCCTACGGACCCCCTCTACGGACCACCTCCCAAAATATAATAAAAAAAATTAATAAGGAATAAATATTTCAGTTATGGATTGTCGAATAGATCGTGTCAGCGAAAGTTCGAACGTTTCATTTTGCAAATATAACATTCTTGGGTTCAGGCTCAGGCACAAGTTATATCATTACACATTGCCACTTCCTTTGCTGTGGCTACACTGGATATGAAAGACCGTGAAAGCCTCCAGGAAGTCTCCAGGAAGCCTCGAAATTTGTCCTCTTTCCCCTCCACCATTTTGTTCAGCCCATTTTCACGTGGATTCATGAGTTCGTTTCATAATTTGCTCAGCGCAATTACAAATACAAACAAGCTTAAACAACCTAAAAATACATCTTCCATGGCCAGATTGAGCCACGAATGGAAGGTAACAATTTTCCTTCGTTTTGCCATAGGTAGTCCGTGGGGGTCCGCAGACCGGGGATCAGTGTTTTCGGGTTACCCTGTCTGCAGTTTGAATAGTCTGTAGCTTACCCTCAGGCCCAGTTCAGATGCCAAACTTTTCATGAGCTGAACCAAATACATTGAATTAAGGTCATTCCTCACATTTGCATAGCGCATCCTTACTGCGCATAATTTATGGCGTCATTAGCGCGGGCTCGTGCACGCGCACATTGAAAACATG